GAGATTACCCACATCTTGATAGAAAAGGCCCATAATGAAGTTACATCTGCACATGGTGGAATGAGAAAGACTCTCGACAAACTTAGACGACTTTATTATTGGCCAAAAATGGCACTTCAAGTGCAGCAATACGTTCGAAAATGCCAAGTTTGTAAAGAAACAAAATCAAATAATCAACATACAATGCCTCCAATAGGAAATGAAGTCCGAACGGAAAGGCCTTTCCAGAAAATATAAGTGGATTTCTTAGGTAAATACCCTAGATCGAAAAATGGAAACGCCTATATTTTTATTGTGGTGGATCATTTCACGAAATTTGTCTTCCTTAAAGCCATGAAAGAGGCTACAGCGAAAAACGTAGTGCAATTCCTTGTCCAGGAAGTTTTTCAGAAGTTTGGTGTACCGGAAGTGTTGCATAGCGACAATGGTCAACAGTTTACGTCAACGTTATTTAATGATATGGTGAAAACATACGGTATAACCCACATGAAAACTGCATTTTACTCCCCACAGTCGAATGCAGCAGAACGTGTTAACCAGTCGGTATTAGCAGCCATTAGGGCATACCTTGAAAAAGACCAGAGAGATTGGGATTTGTATCTCCCGGAAATAGAGCATTCCCTAAGAAATTCAGTCCACGCAGCCACAGGATGTTCGCTCTTTTTGGTCACCACATATATTTAAATGGATCTGACTACAAATTGGCCAGAAAACTACAGTCTTTGTCTGACCATGAGATAGTGAAATTGGAAAAGAGCGATAGATTAGAGTTGATTAGAGAGAAAATAAAAAATAATCTTACGACAGCGTACCAAAACAGTGCCCGGAGGTATAATGAAAGAGCTCGCGCAGTCAATTTTCGGCCAGGTCAAGAAGTCTACAGAAAAAATTTTGTCCTATCGGATTTTAAAAATAATGTAAACGCTAAATTTTGCCGAAAATATCTAAAATGTCGAATAGTGAAACCAATCGGCGGAAATATGTTTGAACTGGAAACACTCCAGGGTAAATCACTTGGCATTTTTCACGCAAAAGATTTAAAAAATTAAGAAATTCAATATATTGGTCTGTGATACTTGGGGTAATGCAATATGGGATTAAACGTGCAATATATAGGGTATGTATGTATGTATGTATGTATGTATGTATGTATGTATGTATGTATGTATGTATGTATGTATGTATGTATGTATGTATGTATGTATGTATGTATGTATGTATGTATGTATGTATGTATGTATGTATGTATGTATGTATGTATGTATGTATGTATGTATGTATGTATGTATGTATGTATGTATGTATGTATGTATGTATGTATGTATGTATGTATGTATGTATGTATGTATGTATGTATGTATGTATGTATGTATGTATGTATGTATGTATGTATGTATGTATTTATGTATGTATGTATGTATGTATGTATGTATGTATGTATGTATGTATTTATGTATGTATGTATGTATGTATGTATGTATGTATGTATGTATGTATGTGACGATTAAAGATGCATATCCCTTACAAAACATTGATGGCATCTTGAGTCGCATAGATCAAACGCATTATATCAGTAGCGTCGATCTGAAATACGCCTTCTGGCAAATTGAATTAGATGAGTCTGCCAAGCCTTATACAGCGTTTACGGTACCAGGTCGACCCCTGTATCAATTCCGCGTGATGCCGTTTGGTCTATGCAATGCGGCTCAACGATTATGCCGCTTGATGGACAAGGTGATACCGGCTAAGCTAAAGACCAATGTTTTTATTTATTTGGATGATCTGCTCATCATCTCAGATACATTTTCCGCACACCTAAAACTTTTAGAACAAGTTGCGGAATGCTTGGCAAAAGCCAACTTAACAGTAGGTCTTAAAAAGTCGATGTTTTGTTTTAGAGAACTAAGGTATCTAGGGTTTATAATCGTAAATGGGATGTTAAAAACAGACACTGAAAAGGTAGCGGCGATTCAAAAGATTCCGTTACCGAAGACACCAAGAGACGTAAGAAGCTTTCTAGGGGCTGCTGGTATAGAAGATTCATAAAGGATTTTGCTACCATCTCAGCAGCCCTTACAGACACACTGAAGAAAGGAAAGAAATTTACTATGACCCCTGAGGCTATCGAATCATTCGAAAACCTGAAAAGTTCCCTTAGTACAGCGCCAGTTCTACGACATCCGGACTTTTCCAAGCCTTTTTATATTCCGTGCGACGCATCGAATTTTGGAATAGGGGCGGTATTATTTCAGATTAATAATAAAGGAGAAGAGAATCCGATCGCCTTCTATTCTCAAAAACTTACACCGTGTCAAAGGAACTATTCGGTAACCGAAAAGGAGTGTTTGGCAGCTGTATTGGCTGTAAAACGTTTTAGACCATACGTAGAAATGATGGAGTTCACAGTCATCACTGACCACGCCAGCCTGAAGTGGTTGATGTCCTTAAAAGACCTCAGCGGACGTTTAGCCAGGTGGTCACTTCAGTTGCAGCATATAATTTTAGAATTGAACATCGGAAAGGATCAGAAAACGTGGTCGCAGACATGCTTTCCCGAATGCCGATCGAACTAGCGGAGATATATAACGAAAATTTCTTTGACTTTGAAACTACGGCCTACGAATCGGAAGAGTATGTGCAATTGGCTAGGAATATTCTGGAGAACCAAGAAAGATTACCGGACTTACGAATAGAACATGGCAGGATATACAAAAAGGTTAAATACGAAAATTTCGATAATGTAGAAGAATCGGTCTGGAAATTGTGGATTCCTCAGGAGATTACCCACATCTTGATAGAAAAGGCCCATAATGAAGTTACATCTGCACATGGTGGAATGAGAAAGACTCTCGACAAACTTAGACGACTTTATTATTGGCCAAAAATGGCACTTCAAGTGCAGCAATACGTTCGAAAATGCCAAGTTTGTAAAGAAACAAAATCAAATAATCAACATACAATGCCTCCAATAGGAAATGAAGTCCGAACGGAAAGGCCTTTCCAGAAAATATAAGTGGATTTCTTAGGTAAATACCCTAGATCGAAAAATGGAAACGCCTATATTTTTATTGTGGTGGATCATTTCACGAAATTTGTCTTCCTTAAAGCCATGAAAGAGGCTACAGCGAAAAACGTAGTGCAATTCCTTGTCCAGGAAGTTTTTCAGAAGTTTGGTGTACCGGAAGTGTTGCATAGCGACAATGGTCAACAGTTTACGTCAACGTTATTTAATGATATGGTGAAAACATACGGTATAACCCACATGAAAACTGCATTTTACTCCCCACAGTCGAATGCAGCAGAACGTGTTAACCAGTCGGTATTAGCAGCCATTAGGGCATACCTTGAAAAAGACCAGAGAGATTGGGATTTGTATCTCCCGGAAATAGAGCATTCCCTAAGAAATTCAGTCCACGCAGCCACAGGATGTTCGCTCTTTTTGGTCACCACATATATTTAAATGGATCTGACTACAAATTGGCCAGAAAACTACAGTCTTTGTCTGACCATGAGATAGTGAAATTGGAAAAGAGCGATAGATTAGAGTTGATTAGAGAGAAAATAAAAAATAATCTTACGACAGCGTACCAAAACAGTGCCCGGAGGTATAATGAAAGAGCTCGCGCAGTCAATTTTCGGCCAGGTCAAGAAGTCTACAGAAAAAATTTTGTCCTATCGGATTTTAAAAATAATGTAAACGCTAAATTTTGCCGAAAATATCTAAAATGTCGAATAGTGAAACCAATCGGCGGAAATATGTTTGAACTGGAAACACTCCAGGGTAAATCACTTGGCATTTTTCACGCAAAAGATTTAAAAAATTAAGAAATTCAATATATTGGTCTGTGATACTTGGGGTAATGCAATATGGGATTAAACGTGCAATATATAGGGTATGTATGATGTATGTATGTATGTATGTATGTATGTATGTATGTATGTATGAGTATGTATGTATGTATGTATGTATGTATGTATGTAGTATGTATGTAGTATGTATGTATATGTAGTATGTATGTATGTATGTATGTATGTATGTATGTATGTATGTATGTATGATGTATGTATGTATGTATGTAGTATGTATGTATGTATGTATGTATGTATGTATGTATGGATGTATGATGTAGGTATGTATGTATGTATGTATGTATGTATGTATGTATGTATGTATGTATGATGTATGTATGTATGTATGTATGTATGTATGTATGTATGTATGTATGTATGTATGTATGTATGTATGTATGTATGGATGTATGTATGTATGTATGTATGTATGTATGTATGTATGTATGTATGTATGTATGTATGTATGTGTATGTATGATGTATGTATGTATGTAGGTATGTATGTATGTATGTATGTATGTAGTATGTATGTATGTATGTATGTATGTATGTATGTATGTAGTATGTATGTATGTATGTATGTATGTTGTATGATGTATGTATGGTATGTATGTATGTATGTATGTATGTATGTCTGTAGTATGTATGTATGTATGTATGTATGTATGTATGTATGTATGTATAGTATGTATGTAGGTATGTATGTATGTAGGTGTATGTATGTATGTATGTATGTATGTATGTATGTATGTATGTAGTATGTATGTATGTATGTATGTATGTATGTATGTAGTATGTATGTATGTATGTATGTATTTCTGTCATGATGTTGTCTGTCTGTGGTTATGTATGTCTGTATGTCATGTAGTCTGTCTGTCTGTATTATGATGTATTCTGTCTGTATGTATGTATGTCCTGTATGTATGTTCTGTCTGTCGTCTGTCTGTCTGCGCTGTCTGTATTTATGTGTGTATGTATGTATTATGATCTTTAATGTCCTGTATGTTTTGCTTTATCTCTGTATATTCTGATCTTCGGTTCGAGAAATATATATATAACTATAAACAAAACAAACTATAAACAAAATGCCCTGGCTATACCAGTACACTCCTGCATATCGAGCGATTAAAACCTAAAAAACAAACTTACGTATACGGAGTCAAGTAATCCGGAAACAGAGCAATCAGAAACAGTATTCCTAAAGTATGTATAACCATTAATCATTATCAATGGAACGAGCAACTCAAATATACATACCATATTGCCCGGCTGGAGACTCATCAGGGTGTGGGAGTTCCCCACGTTTGCATTTGGCGTTACAATATAACATACGAGATTTATTAATTTATCAGATCTAGAATCTGCGCGTATGCGGATCATTAGCGGAAAGGAGGCTACCCCGCACACCGGCACTCCATTCGTACACTTTGTAATCCCGGAGTTTTGTTGCGGGTTAAAATGAGTTCCAACACCCGGCCTGTGCCACTTCTGCTTATTGTTGGCGATTTAGCTTTTCTTGGGCTTGTTTTGTAATTTAGTCTCAATTGTTGTGTTTGTGTGTAGAATTTTGTTTGAAATTGTTTTTTTTTACTGTAATTTTTCTTATTTAGTGTAGGTTTTGTACTTATTATTAATGTTATTAATTTGATGTTGTCTTCAGTCCTTGTGCATGTGCTTTGTGTGATGTTTATAGGATTTGTAAAAATGCATGCCAAATTTGTACAGGCGTGTGCATCTACACACTGTCAATTTTTTTTTACATGGAGTTTGACAGTATGGTTATGGACGTCAAAAAATTAACTCCATATATAAAAAATTTGCAGCTGGTGTGTGCATGCATCTGTGCGAATGTGTTGTGTAAAAACGATAGTAAAATAGTGGCGTTGCCAACTTGGTATAATTATGAATGAATACAGTGTTGTATTTCTGCATGGAATTCATTCATAAAATGAGCAGAAATATAGCACCAGTAAACGTCAGTCAGGGAAGTATGCTGAATTTAATGACAAATGGAATAGCCCGGGTTTAATTTATATTTATTGGAAGAAAAAAAAAAGATGGAGGAGATTTTTGTTGTATCTTTTGGTGTCGAGGTTAAGCTCAGTACAAAGCAAGGCTTAGAAAACAATCATTAATAATTGAGTCAAAGATACAAGTGGTTGTGCAAAGAACGATATGAAAAATCAAAAAAATCTTGGTATTCTCCAACAGTAATTAAATTACACAAATTTTACAAAATTGAGCCTCATTCAATACGAAAATATAGTATAAATTCATTATAAAATAAAATAATAAAAATAAATCCAGTGAATATTTACAAGTGAGTTCTTTATTAATGTCTTGTGTTATAATAAACAGTGTACAGAAAAGTAATTACATTGAATTCAACAGGAAACACTGGTAAAGGAACCCTGCCTACTTTCACTCTTGAAATATTTCCCGGTTGTAGGAACTACCTCTGGGGTCCGAATTTTTAAGACTAAAAAGGAAAGAATACCAGGTAACATGAACATTATAGTTGAGTTAGAGTCAAGGAAAAGGTCATTGAGATTATACGTCCAATACTCACCAACAACTTCAATCATAATTCATGCCATTAACTGCCCAGTATTTCATCTGTAAAAGTCACACCACTAAAGACAGAAAGAATAATCAATTAGCAGTTTTTTTTTTTATATAACATATTTTTTTAACTTAAGTTTTTTTTTATTCAGATATATTTTTAAGTAAAAATAGTTAGTTAGGAATATAGTGTATAAGCATAATCGTATGTGTTTGTTAGTGCCTAAATGTCAAGATTGTTCCTGTAACTTATTGAGTTTTATGTAAATAGGTATATGATAGTCTATTTGTTTTCCTAGAAAAGAAAAAGTTTTCAACGAATGATTCATTTTTGTTTAACCTGTGAAAGACCCCCTAAGCGAGCTCCTTTAGGTAAGGTGATAAACTGTTTTTAAGGTTAGTTTGTCAGATTTGTTCAATAGAAGTTGAAGATTTTTTTTACTCTATAGGAAGGGAATAGATACTTATATATCTGTGTGTTTTTTTTTTTTTTTTTGTTATACCTAATTTTTGTGTTCAATTTGTATTCTTTTCATTAAGGCACCCGTAAATTATTGTATTTTGTTAGGATAAGTTTAAAAGTCCAAAATAATATTAGTTTAGTATAGGATTAAGAAAGATAGTCAAATAACTGAGAACCAAGAGATACGTTTGATTTATTTTTGTCATTAAAGATAAGACTGGTTTCATAACCGTTCGTTTTATGCTATTAATTTATATAGTTTTTTTTTATCAAGGACAATACACATATAAATATAGTTGTTTAGTTTTAAGTTTGAATTAATAAAAATATGTAGCTTGTTATTTTGTAAGCGATCAGAGAGATGTTTGTGTGCTAAGTCTTTTGTTTTAAGGGTGAGGTCTGATGTGAGGTAGGTATGTTGGTGTAAGTGTGTGTGGAATTCGGGGACACAGCAGAATGTGACATTGGAATATTTGTGTCCAAGGTTGGGAGGGCTTATTAGGAGAACTTCGCCAGCTATTCTCCATCTTGAATGTTTCAGTGTAGTGTTTAGTTTATATAATTGTTTTGGAGAACATTTCTTTTTTTTTTTTTTTTTTTTTTTTAATTGTTCATGTCTCTGGCCTGTGGTCGTGGGTTGGAACCTGCCCTGATGGTGCGCTCGTGCTAGCTGGCTTCACGACAACAGACAGTATCAGGACACGTAACAATATATGAGCGAATGGTGAGACACTCCAGGACATTGTAATTGCCCATATTTATCAATCCTATCTAAGTGGGATACAAAAAAATAATCTATTAATGAAGTTGTGCGAGTTTTTAAATCAAAATGGGTTGGAAGAGAATTATGAAAGCAAATATTCTGGTATCTTAGTAATAAATCACTAATTGACCTCTCAAACGTTAACATATGCTCTTTAGTCCTACGAGGCAGATATATCACACCCACTAAGACTGGTTTACCACCACAATTTAATTCCACAAACAAAGACTCTGCAATGTTATACAATTCACTCTTATACACAACCTTAAAATTACACTTTTTAGAAATAAAAAGAGCAACTCCTCTCATTCTCAGAGGACGATCACTCCGACAACAATTGTAACCATTAATTATACCCTTCACCTTCGTGAGAAGGGTATATATAAGTTTGTCATTCCGTTTGTAATTTCTATAATATAATTTTCCGACCCTATAAAGTATATATATTCTGGATCCTTATAGAAAGCGGAGTCGATTAAGCCATGTCCGTCTGTCCGTCTGTCGGTCTGTTGAAATAAGTTTTTAGAGGACCCCAGATATCGGCGAGATCCGAATCTTCAATAATTCTGTTAGACATGCTTTCGAGAAGATCGCTATTTAAAATCAGCAAAATCGGTCCATAAATGACGGAGATATAAGCAAAAATCCGAGACAACCTCTGAAAATTTCATAAAAATATAAAATTTTTTTCATGTTTTGATTAATAAGCAACAACAACAACACTGCTTATTCATTGAGTATTTCGTTTCACATGTTTGGATGGCTGTGTGTTTCATTGGCATGTGTATATTGTTTTTGTTTCTTGGTGTATTCAGTTTCGTATGTTTGGATGTCTGTTGGTTTGATTGCGTTGTGTATTTTGTTTTTGTTTTTTTTTTTCGAGTATTTCGTTTCGTATGTTTGGATGGCTGTGTGTTTCATTGCCTTGTGTATATTGTTTTTGTTTCTTGGTGTATTCAGTTTTGTATGTTTGGATGGCTGTGTGTTTCATTGCCTTGTGTATATTGTTTTTGTTTCTTGGTGTATTCAGTTTTGTATGTTTGGATGGCTGTATGTTTCATTGCCTTGTGTATATTGTTTTTGTTTGTTGGTGTACAGTTTCGTATGTTTGATGTCTGTTGGTTTCATTGCGTTGTGTATTTTGTTTTTTTGTGTATTTCGTTTCGTATGTTTGGATGTCTGTTGGTTTTACTGCCTTGTGTATTTTGTTTTTTGAGTGTTTATTTCGTTTAGCGTTGTTGTTGCTCATTTTGTTTTGCTATTGCTATAATAATGATATAATCGGGAAAATTAAATATGTACATAGGTACATAAATTTAAATTTTATAAAATTTATATTTTTTAAATACACTATGGTGAAGGGTATATAAGATTCGGCACAGCCGAATATAGCACTCTTACTTGTTTTTACTACATTAGTTAAAACATCCGGTTGCAACCAAGTCTCACTTAAGCCAATTATATCTAAACAAGAGTCCTCAAAAATATTTCTTATCTCATCAAATTTTGTGGAATTTGGATTCAAATTAAAACTCCCACAATTAAGATGGGCGAAACTAAGATTATGTTTCATATTAATGGTATGTTTAAATTGGGAATGCAAAAACGAATTTTCAGAAGATACATTACCTAAATTAATATTAATATTCATATTCAAAACAGAAATAGGGATATATCAAAAAATTCAAACAAAAATATTAATATAAGTACATACATAGATAAATACTTGAGTATACGCTAATTGAGCTAAACTGTGAAAGGAGTCATCAACCGCAATACAAAACAAAATTACAACACTTAACGTCTATTAAGACACCATAACAAGCGGTAAGGTAAGCAAATCAATTACCGCAAAAGACAATAATTTGTCCTAAATATTACGAAAGATATCTCATTTCACAAGCCAGCCAAATGTAGTATATAAAAAGCATCTGTTTTTGAAAAGCACAAAACAAACAAATCTCACCCGTGCTTTCAAATGAACAACAATTTATCATTTAAATACCTACATGAATAAAAAAAATTCTTCAGCACTTCCCAAAAACAGTCTTAAATATTTAACACCACTCAAAAATTTATATATAAATTAAAATTTGTATAAAAACTTGACAAAAATCAATTTAAGAAAACATATGAAAAAATTGCGAGAAATATAAATTAAAAACAAATTCTAATAATAAAAATGTATAATTAATCAGGAGATAAGTAATTTTCAACATTTTTTGTCGTATCGTTTCGACATATTAAAATCTGATTCGTTGTGAAGGCCTGATAGTAAATCCACACATTGTTGAATATATAGTTTTTCTTTAGTGTTATTTGGAAACGTAACCATGACAGCTGGAATGTCAGTATTTATAAAGGAATATTTAAGAATCTTTTGTTTTAGACGAAGTTGTCTGCAGACAAATAGCAATTTAGAGGCAGCAGATGTTAGATGGTCACCCAAATATTTTATCCTCATTATTACATCCAACTATATTTTTGACAGTGATAGGGTTTGTTAATTTGATGTAGTTTCCCATTATTAAATCACGAGTATATACCGAATTAAATTTTGCTAACACAGAATTACGTTTCGCAAAATAAGTACAATGTTGTATGTCCGCATCTAACACTTTAACTCCACATAAAGCTGAGATCTTCTTAACAGGGTCTCTTAAGTGAAGAATGTTCTTTGGTAATCCGGTTATAATTATATCAGCTCGATTAAGTCTGCGCTGTAGTATACTATTCTTGATTTCCAAGTTTCGAATTTTGTTGTTACTACATTGGTCGACTTGTTTTAAAATTGTGTAACAATTACTGGTCTCTGATTTTATGATTTTCAACTCGGACTTTATGACTTCCACTTCTGAAGTTTGACTGTTTTGTATATTTTTAACAAATTCATTGTAATCTTCTTTAAATTTTAACATTTTATTTTCAAATTCTTCATCTAATCTCTTCTTATATTCCACAATTTTCGCTTCCATTGATTTTGCCAACTCCACAAATCCATTTCTTAATTCATTTTGAAAATTAAATATAGGAGTCTTAGTACATTGAGTACATATAAATTTGAAGTTAGAATACTTCAATAGAAATTTATATTCCTCATCGGTTACTCCACCACATTCCAAATGGAAATATTCATTGCAATAACCACATCCCACACTAGCCTTCTGCTTGGTGATATTTTTATCACATTTTGGGCACTTATAGATCTTTATGGTGGGCGCCATCATATATTGAAGTATGTATATAAGTTTCTTATTGGTAAAAAAAGAGCAAAAGCAGCATCAAAAGCAATATTGGTAATAAACTAATTATGCATATGTTTATTAATATTTCTTCACATGTTTTCACTTTTAAACATTTAAAATGTCAACTTTAAAAAGTTTTTATGACTTAAAGTACATTTATTAATTTTTATTTAAATTTCTTTGATATCACAAAAAATAATTTTATCTGAACATGTTCAGTGATGCCAACTAATATAGTGGTGGCAACTATATAATTAGAGGAATAACAGAAATAAAACAAAAAAAATCTATATTAAGTATAAAAAATTACACTTTAACCCTTTTTGGCTATGGAGTAAACTTGAGGTGCAAATTTTTAAAAGAACATTTTTTTTAAACAGATAATTTACGTAATCCTTTTTACGGTCGATTTTCAATCTAATATGTCTTAAAATACAAACTTTATATGGTCGAAAAGGGTTAATTCATAAGTTTTTATACTTAATATAGAATTTTTTGTTTTATTTCTTTTATTCCTCTAATTATATAGAGCATTATTCAAACAGAGAGTGTTTTTTCGAATTTTTGAACTTTGGTGTTACATTGTTCCCAAGTGCCTTAAAGGGTTAATCTACCTTATTTTCACTGTATTTTAAATATCGGACTATATACGATAAATTCCATTCAGTTTTGGTAAAGACGGCCGACAAATAAATATTATTTCGATATGGTTCACAAAAAATACCCAAATATTGCAAAATTTGACCTTTGAACTCCACAGTTTATGGGTTAGGAATGTCCGATTTTAATAAAACCTCAAAAAACTTCAAAATTTATTACTACATGGCCAAATTTGAGCAAAAACTGAAAAAAAATCGTTATTTTCCCCTTGTAAATGCACTTAAAAACTTCAGAGCCGTTGCGGTACCTGTTAACGTTATCCTATTAGCCTAATCTTTTGTATGACATAGTTTTACAACCCAAAGAACAATTCTAGAGGGGGACGGGCAAAATTCGCAACTTCGTTTTTTTGTACGACTATGCAATAAATATAAAACTTTAAAAATTGTCCATCACTTTACTGTTGCGGTATACCTCACCGCACCGAGGGTTTTATCCTCTGGCTACCCAAAAAAAAAATTGCGTGGGGGGACCTCAGGGAAACGGTCGGGAGGAGGCCAGAAAATCAAAATTGCCTCTACTCCCTGTTTTGAAATCAATGGGGAGGGGCTTACGGCCAATGGAGACACCACCTCCTGCCCGAGTCCCGGTGTATAATTCAATATTTAGTGGGGAGGGGCTTACGGCCAATGGAGACACTACCTCCTGCCCGAGTCCCAGTGGTTAATTTGTTTTCATATTAGTATTTTGGTTAATTTTGTTAGTTTTGTTTTGGTTTTTCTGTTTTTTTTTTTGTTAGTATGTTAGTTTTGTTGTAATTTATGATTTTCGGGTGTATCTTTGTTTAGTTCTCGTATTTTGTTGTTGTATTTATGTTGTTTATTGATAGGCTGAAAAAGATAAAAGTATTAATAAAAACCCACAATAATCAGGAACGATACAATTTACCTTACCTGCTCCAGTAGTTCTTCTTTCATTTTTATGCCTAAAACAAAAGAAAAATACAAATTAAAAATAAAAAAATACCAAAATTCTCCATGTGCTTGTCCGCCCAGCTGTTGTCAGAATTAATGAAAACAGGGTTGCTCAAATGTCAAAAGTAGTAAAAGTATTGGCAACGCAATGTATATCGTAAAAGTGTAGGGGTGTATTTCATTGATGCAGACATGGGAATGTGTATTTTTTTTGTAGTAAAAAATTAAAAATAATTGAATGAAAATACTACTGCTAAAAATGATATGAATTCACATATCATTTGAAAAAGTAAACTTTTAACGACTATTGTCGGTATCTTTCGCCATTTTTAAATTCTTTTGTAAAATTTTCAAATTTTTCGGATAGCCAATTTTATGTTCTTTTAAGATTTTTTAGAAAAACTTTCGAATTTTTCCGACTTTCTAAATTTGTCCAAAAATCTTGATTTTATATGTTTTTTTTTAGGAAAAAGTCGACTTTATGCGATTAAAAAATTTGACATTAAACCAATTTTTAACAATTGTTTTACCTCATGTCTATATTAGACAAATATTTATCACGGCACTTGACAAAACGTCGGCAGAAAAATTGTCAGTTTTTT